AACTTGACAGAAACTGATTTTCTAAAAGCAACAAATCTCATCTTTTCATTTTACAGAGACGATGTTCTTTAGAGCTCTGTTTATTGTAAATATCACCTTTCCTCATTCTGCCTCGTGAAATTCTGACCATTAGCACAGACAGAACTGTGTGCTTTTCTCCAGGATAACAAGGAACTTGGGGAAATTAAAAGGATGCAACAAATGAGTTCTGGATTAAAAAGAAAGATTGTTAGGTGTCTGGAAATCTAAACTTAGGCAAGGCAAGAGGACGTACTTGTAAATTGATGTACTTCTGAGAAATTGCTATCTTCTCAAAGAAGCATCTTGTGAAATTTTGCATTACCTGTAGAAGAACAAAATCTAAGCCTGGCACTATTTGTTGGCTGATAATTAATATTCTAGGTTTTTATTAGTGGCATTCTTCACTTCTTAAAAATTACTCCTGTTTCCCCTGGCTTTGCTTAAGCACTTGGTGACTAAGAATACAGATTTCCCTCTTGTTTTTTCTTTTTTTTTTTTTTTTCCCCTCTAGTATTCTAACAGCATTCTTTGTGAAAGTTGCAAGACTCCAAATCTTCACGTGTGGACTGAATATATCACTACTGTGATCCATCCAAGAAGCACGATTATACCAGAAACAGGTTGCCAGATTATTAGTTGTTCCTTATTATATGACCATACCCAGAGGAAAATGTTTGGAAATATTAGCTCTGCCATTGAACAAGACCATATTTTGAAAGACACATCTGTTTTTAGACTGGTTTAGATCACAAATAAGCAGAATAGTATTACGTGGGAGATCTGTGTGTACACGCCTTCAGTTTATGCATAACTGGTCTTTGCATCAAAAGCCGCACAATGTTTAAGACCTGATTAGACAACTATGTACATGGCTGGATTAAATCTGTTTCTCAGTGAACTTTGTCTTGTGACCACAGAACAGTGTGTAAGCTGCTGGGAATGGTCCTTGCGAGCTGCATGCTAATAATACAGCTTTCTACAGAACCGTTCTACTGTTAGGGCCAGAAAAGTTTCTCTCACGTGATTTCATAGATACACAGTAATACAGTTTATCAAAATAAACTCGGTCAAATGCAATGTTAAACAGTGCTCTTGTTAGAGGTCCTTGTGAACTTCAATACTCGGCTTATGCGGCTTATTACTCAAGTACATCGTGCTAATGAGCCTTCAAGTGAAAGAGGCATCTTTGAGTAAATATGTAATTGGGACATGGTTCACTTCTATAATGTTCTTCTTTCAATAGGTTTAATATATGAAAAATCAAACTTGCTCCTTGTTAAATTCCCTTATTAGCATACCTTGCATTCATAGGTGATATGTAAGCTTGGGAAGGAGAGCCCCTGTGCAGTTAAAGTTTAGTCACTACGATAGCACTGAATGAACAGTGTTACTATGGAGTATAGCAGAACTTAGGTTTAATTACAGCATATCTGAAAAAGTAACATCTAGAGCATTTGGGTTTGGGATTCTCAGGTAAATGAGTAGGAGGCAGGTATGTTAAGTCTCACAAATTGGTAAATTCCTGCTACAATTGCTATCTAATTTGTTATCTAAAATGTAATTAAAATACTGTAGTCCAGCTACGTGGTTCTAATACACTAAAAGAAAGAGAAATGGTACCTTTAGACTATAGTATCTTGCTGAGTTTCATACTCCCACCTTGCTAATTCGTATCCTTTTACCTATCTGGCTTTAAAAAAAAATACTCCAACTGATTTCTTTTGTTAACTTACAACCCTTCAAAATTAGAACGAAAAGTTTAATGGCCTAAATACAGTGCAGTCCTATTTGAAAAGCCTGATTTATCTTCTATGCTTTTTTTATGGTAGTATTTCCTTGTTATGCCCTTGGTATTTCATAGCTGTCCTTTTTAAGCACTGAAGCAATTAGTTTTGAGAAGGCTGATTCTTCAGGGTCCAGTGCTTTCCTGCCTTTCATTTGCCGAAGCTGTACATTTTAATGAAGTTGTTTCATCTGTGTTGCCAAACACTAGAATTTTGCTGCTTCAATTCTAATTATCTCTGCTGGCAAATGCTATGTTTTATTAAAGCTGTCAAGTGCACTGTTCATTAAATGTCCACAGTCTGTGGTGCTGTGCACACAAATTAGATCAGCTTTGCTCCTTGATAGATTATGAAGAAGTTACATGTTTTTTTATAGACCTTTAAAATCTAGTTTAACAGCAATCAATGATGACTTAAGTAAGTAAAGCATACCTGTAGCTTCTTGAAACCTAGTATCCTGTCACAATTCATCTATGACACATACATGAAAACTCTAGTAGTCCAGCTGAATATGCTGCTTATTTTATTCATGAAGAGACAGTTTTGCTTATCTAAGATACAGTTTCATCTTGAATTCTAGTTGGTTTAGGCTAAGATAAGACTAACACATACTTGAATGTGAGCAAATGCATCAGTACTAGTCTTTCATTACAGGGTTGTGTAGTGTAATTAATCTTCACTAAAAGTAAAGATTGCTTCATTTTAGTGTTACCAACCTGGTGAATGCAAAAGATTGCTATCGTAAACAACTACCAGCTTATAATGGCATATTTCAAAAGAGAATTTTAGTAGATGTTTGCTCCAAATATATAGGGCAGTAACAGAAATATTGTACTTGCAATAACAATATGAGTCACTCTTAGGTAGAGTTCTTTGCTTTTATTTTGTATTTTCATTGTGTGTGTCATTATTTTGAATAACAGTCATTTATCCTGTTTAAGGTGTTGTGTTCTAAACATTCTCTATGAGGGTTAATAAGATATTGTGGTGATAGGTAACAGAGGAGCATGATGATCTTTTGAAAAAATGTTTTTCTTACTCTTCAGCTATCTGTAAGCAATAACTTCAAATTTATTTTTTAGTATTATGGCTTTATGGTATATCCTTTCTGTACTGGTTGTTTTATCTTCTGAAGAATGTAGGGTTTATTCTTTCCAACATAGCTTTTAAATTTATCAGGCTGTATTTTAAACCTTCTCAAAAACAGATGTTTATTGTACTCTTCACAGAAGTCATAAATGACATCTCAAAGTGCTATGTAAAATGAATGGAACTTTGGGGATCTTGGATATATCCTTTTAGGGTCTGAGAGGAAACTATAGTCCTTCAAAAGGCTATAAGCCACTCTCCCTTATCACTTCTTATGATCCAATTAAAAAAGCTATAGTAGAAGTAGAAAATTCTTACAGCCTTAAGTTGAATAGAAGGCCATGTATGTTTATATATTTCTTCATCTGTTGATGTATTATACCTTATCAAGTATGTTTTGTGGTATTTACAAAAAATAATAGCATTTAATTTTAGTTTTTGAGTGTGGAAACAAACTAATGCTGTTAAAGCAAACATGAGCCTCTGTTTGTTAAATCTTTAAAAGGAAAACATCTGTTTTTTGCAAAGCATGGCCCTTTATACCATGGCAATGTAGCATTTTCTGAAAAGAGACATTGAATGTGCACTTCACAGTATCCTAAATTTCATCAGACTAGGAAAGAAATAAAAATCAGGAGTGTCTTCCATGAGAATTTCTTGTAACCATTAGTACGATGATCACAGGTAGGGATTCAAATAATGTGGCTTTTCCTAAATGCTGTAGCTGGCCCAACATAGAAAGCAGCTTATAAACTAGAGATATCACTCTGAGTGTCATTCATAGGTAGTGAATCTTTGGAAGGATTGTAAAACGTGTTAGCTTTGATTGCTGCTGGCTGTCAGTTGATCAGTCTAATTCTGCACCAGCTGTGGCATTTAGACGATCAATAAGATTTTCCCAGGAAAGGATAGATTGCCGCTGTTGTTTTCAAGAATACACCTGAGACAAAAGGTCATAAATACCTGAGCAGAGAGATACTGCGAAAAACAAAACAAAAACCTGTTCCTGGCCACTGGCACTAGTCTCCTAAAGGAAATTTCAATAGGAGGGTTCCCGCAACTCTATTCAAGGGCTGAAGTAATTGTTGTCACCAGAAATACTTCACCCAACTTCAGACCAATAATCTTTTGTCTCTTTCAACTTCAAATTTAATTCTTTTTCAAAGGCCTACTGCAGAGGATGGCTCAGAAGAGATAGCATGTTCTGTGGTAGTGATAACAGTATATGGAAAGATTTGTTTGGGAAGCATGGAAGTGAAGATTCATGTGAAAAACCTACTATATGTGAAATACGATTTTGTTTCTTAATGTTATTTTCACTTTGGATGTATGTTTCTATTTGTACTTGAATCTGAAAAATTGGACAAAATACTCCCTGAACCTCCTAGGGAGATTTGAAATGTATTCAGGTTTATATTTATATCCAGACTCAGATTTGAAAAAACTTGTCCTATTTTGTATTTTTGGAAGTTGCGTGATTTATTACTGTAAGTAGTGCAAGTAAAAAATGTTTTGATCTCACTGCCTTATCCACATCTTTCAAATTCAGCGTGCAAGTGTGTCAACTACCACAAAAGCAAAAAGTTTATTTAGAGATCCTGGCGCCTTGCCGTTAGTAGTATAATCTCAGAAAATTGTGGAAAATCATTAAGCATAAGACAGACATCACAGGGGTTGTGTAATTAGATACAGAAATAAACACCTGATGTGTATGTGGAATTAATTTTAGACTTAAGAAAGTACAGAAACAACAACTGGATTTTATGACTCACTGTGGGTTATCAAGCTGAAACTGAGAAGAGTAAAATTAATACCATTAACAAAAGAAATATACAAAGGGAAATGTTCCTTTTTTTCCTGAATATATAGAGATATCTACTTAAAGAAAAGAAGGAGAAGTTTTGGTTCAAGATTTTGGATTTGGCTGCCTGAAATTGACATTCTTGAGTAAGATATTTGGCTGATTGTCCTGTATTTTTAAAGTTTGACTGCTAGGGGTTGAGAGAGTATTGTTTTTGTGTTACTTCATTTTTGGAAAAGAAACAGTTTTCACCTTGAAAAATGAATACTAGATTTTTATTTATTTATTATTGTTATTTATTGCAGGAACACCAAGACAATATACTAGGAAATACAATGCAAACTGCAGTTGCCTTACTGAATAACGTGGTTGCTAACAAAAGCACAAACATGATGCTACTCTTCACAGAAGGTATGTCTTTACCTTTGGTTATTCTGCTTTATACAGATGCTTCCCAGCCTGCTATAGTATCTTGCACTGTGTGAAATGTTTGATCATATATATTTATATTCTGTAGTGGTTGTTTGATAATCACATCGTATCTGACTGGTACTACTCCTTACTTCATCTACCTTGCCTTCATTTACCTTCTACATTTTGGTTAGAAATTTAACTTTAGAAAGTTGTTCCCTCAAGGAGATGTGGTTATAAAAGAATTACTGTCTAGAATTTACATTATGCCTTTGAAGGATGGCTTTGGAAAAGAGTGGGCTAGAGCTCTGACCATCACAGTGCAGAGGGCAGGCATAGAGCACCACTGAAAATTCCTCCTTTTCTCACTGCTCAAATCTGCGAAAGGATGTTATACAATAATTTTACACTTAAAAAGCTGACTACTCTTCCAGTCCAGTGGTGTAGACTGATGGAACCCAAACTGACTATGGAGCCTTAGTATACAAACTATTCCATGTCTTCATGTCACTGTATTTTATTATTGAGCCTGCCTTTTATTTGCAACTTGGTTCTGGTTTACAAAATGAACGGAAGGTTTCCACTGTTGGAAATCCATATACTTTTGAAAACTTGTTTAGAAATACACACTTTGATTACATTACTCTTATTTGTAGTTAATGAGTAACTGACATCCAGAAATACTGATCTGTATTACCAACAGTATAAAATATATGGCATACTCCAGAAGGAAAAGGAAGAAGTTTGTGTAGAGAGAGAAGAAACAGCTGTGTCTCTTCTGAAGCCAAAAGGAAACCTTTTGAAAGTCTCTAGGAAAAGATTGAGAAGGTGGGATGGATGATACTTCATCAGAGCTTTTTCTATTGGTAATCACACCAGAGAAGGAGCCAAATGAGATAGTGTGATCAATGATTTATGTATTAGCACTGACAATGATGTGCAGATTTGAAGATCTGGATCTGCCTTAGATGTATTTTAAAAAACAGCAACAACAAAAAAGCAAAACACATACCAGCCTAAAAATCTGCGAAAAGAAACAGCAGTAACGGTCATGTCCTTGTTTTCATAATTACCTTAGCAGGTAAAGCACTCAACCAGAAAATGAGAGACCTGAATCTGGGTCCTTTTTTACTCTGAAGGGATGGCATAGACAATTCCATCATTCAGAAGACCAGCAGGAACTTGACATTGTAGCTAATAACATGCTCTTCCCCTCTGTTTGAAGCAGATCCACTCTGAAGTTGGTGGTGTGAGACTCATAGGGCCAGAAGAAAAGGAAAATGTAATTGAGTTGGAGAGGGATGGTTTGTATGTTTCTGATTACTTGGTTGTTTCTCAGTAAAGTGCCTGTTACCCTTGAAACTGCTTGGAGTTTATTGGAGGTGAGATGTGTCTATTGCTTTTTCTTTCTTTGGGCACATCTCCTGTGTGTTGGGCTAGCACTGATCTAATCCTAAACTAGTGCTGGTCTGAGCTGCAGCAGGATCACAGAATCATCTAGTTTCTTGCAAGAGACTTCCAAGATCACCAAGTCCAACCTCTGACCTAACACTAACAAGTCCTCAAGGATAACTTCTTAAAACAGCACAATGATATACAAAGAAGTTAGCTCACGTGTGCCTTACTCAAAATAATATGCTCTGTCTTTCTGCATGGCAAAACTATTCAACAGCATAGCAAAACTGAACCCATTCTGTAAACATCTCCCCTTTATTGTCCTACTAAGTCAACTCCCTTATGCTTTTTATGCTGGTAGTATGTCAGTGCTCTTCCACTTCTCATCTGCTCCTAAATAAAATGCATCTCTTCCATCATGATAGTTTCCAAATCAAAGAAGTGGGGTAGCAACATTATTAAAGTCTTTTATCATTTTCAAGTGCTATGTCATAAATAACTTCAGTAATGTTTTCAGACTATTAGTGATTGGATAACTCTAACTTGGGCTCACTGAACTTCATCATCCTAACTAGGAAAAACAGCACAGCAGCCAAAAACAATTTATCTGAAGTAAAATATCGCTATCTTCTCCTATCCCTTTTACCAATGGGTTAATCTTCAGAGTACTGAAAATGCGGGTTGTAGCCATTGCTTTGTTTATTAAGGGCCTAACTGTCAAGTGCATAACTTCTGAAATTTGGTTTTTAGAAATGTTATGAAGGTATTGATTTTGTAATTGTAGCCTGTAAGGCTTTCTTCAAACAAAACTAGGAGAAACGTTATTCTGCCCAAACTGGAAGTCTTTTTATCCTTTTCCTTGCTAGCCATAAATATATGGGGTTCACTACAAGAAAATATCTTAAACTTTCTCTGCCGCCATCTTTGATGTTCAGCTTTGTCATTTTTGAATGACTCTAGTGTAAGGGAGAAGAGTGTGATCCAGTGAAATGGCCACTAAGCTCCCTCTTGCAGAAAAGGATCTTGGGGACCAAATGAAAAAGTTGAACTTAGGTCAGCAGTGTGCCTTTGCAGCAATAAGGGCAAAAGTGAACTACAAGAAGAAAGAATAAATGGAAGGTCAAGGGAAGTGATTGTTCTCTATTCTTGTGAGATTGTGTCTGGAATGCTGTTTTCAGTTTTGGGCTCCAAACTACAAGGCAAACAGGAGCCAAGTCTAGAGGAGAACCGCCAGGGTGGGTAGGAGTGTTGAATACACTGTGTGTGTATTTGCAGCCTCTGCCTGTAGCATTACCTGAAGTTATTCCTTCCCAAGTGCAGAACGTTGTATTTGCCTTTGTTGAACATCAAAGAGGCTTTTGGCAGGCTGCTTCTTGAGCTCTTTCTAATTGTTGGCTCAACCTTTCACTGCATCAACTGCTTGCCTCATTTCAATGTCATCTGCAAACTTGCTGAAGGTGCATGTTATTCCGTTGTATTAATGCTCTCTGTCCAGGCTGTTAATGAAGGTATTCAACATTCATGAGCTGTTCTGCTGCCTAAGAAAAATGCTGAAGTATTATGGGACATCAGTTTCCCTTATTCTCCTATTACAGTGTGATGATTGATTGGTGTATATGTGGAGCTTTAGAAATTAAAAATCTTAAATACATGATAAATGTTATAAGGAGATCATGTTAAGGGGTCAGTCCTGTCAAGTTATTTAGTTTCCAAGAGTCCAGACATTAGCAATGAGTATTTCTTTCCAGTTCCATGTATGCCTTTCCTCAGCTGCCAAGAAAGCAGTATTTTTGCAGACAGATCATTCAGGGACCCCAGTCACTGTTTCCTTCTGTGCCTGTTAGCTTTTGGAACTCTATTCTGCTCAGTGCAGCTCTATTAGGTGATAGAGATTTTTATTTTTATTTTTAATGGGATGCAGCTTACATGTTGAACTTTCCCCTTTTTCAAGGAAATCTTGCATGATAGCACTTGCTTCATTACTACTTCTGTGATTTCAAATTAATAACAGTGATACAGTTGAGCATTTCAGGGACTTGCATACAGGGTGGACTGTCTAGCATTAATTTCTCTCTCCCCTGAACTGTGTCCTTGTGTGACAATACATCAGACATGTAATGATAACCACCTGTAACATTTAAAGGTGAAATGGAGATTAACATATGCAACTGAAGTTGCAGAGGGACTTTAAAATGGCCTCTACTGTGTTATCAGCTATTAAACATTTGTTCTGTTAACATTAACAACAATTTCCACTTAATAATCAGAGCGGAATAATATGATTCAGTTTAATTACTGAGACTGGAAGTCAGTAAAGAGACTGGGATTAGTATATGGTCTCTTGTGGAAAGTTAAGATGAGATGCTAACAAGCCAAGACAATATTGATCATTTTTAGTGTGGTTTTCTAAGAATGTGAAACTTACTCTCTGTCCCTTGTCTCAGCTTCTGGCTGCCAGTCTCTCTTTCCTCCCTTTCCCCATCCTCTGAAATTATTGGACAATTGTAAACTGATTTGAGAGAGCATAGAGGCTGCAGGGGGAGAAGGGGGACAGGGACTGCAATCAATACTACTCCTCCCAGTTTGATGCCAGTGTCAGTGACAGATGCCCAGAGCTTGGACAAGGGTCACAGGTCAGCAGGAGAGCACCCGAAGAGCAGCACAAAGGAATTCCAGCCAGTAAGTCAGCTTATCAGGGGGCCAGCCTAAACGTCTCTGTGCTAACACACGTAGCATGGGGAATAAACAAGAGGAGTTAGAGATGTACACATGCCTGCGGGACTGTGACCTCCTTGGCATTCTGGAGATGTGGTGGGACAGATGGCTCCCATCACTGGAGTGTTGTAATGGAAGGATGCAGGCTTTTTAGGGAAGACAGGATGAGGAGATAAAGAGGGGATATTGCCCTCTATGTCAGTGAGCAGCTGGAGTGCATGGGGCTCTGCCTGGGGATGAATGAGGAGCTGACAAAGAGCTTGTGGCTGTGGATTTAAGGCAGTGCAGAGACAGGTGACGTTATAGTGTAAGTCTGCTACAGGCCACCTGATCAGGAAGACCAGGCAGATGAGGCCCTGTCCATGAAATGATGCAATTTTGGATCCAGAGGACAGTGAAGAGGGAGCACAGCACGCTCACTACCCTGAACTTTGGAAGAGCAGACTGGCCTCTTCAGGGGTCTGGTTGTTAGAGTACCATTAGGTTAGGCCCATCTTCCTTGAGGGAAGAGGGGCCTAAGACAGCTGGCTAATATTCTAGGATCAAGATCTCCAAGCTCAAAAGCAATGCATCCCAACAAAGAGGAAGTCAGGCAAAAGTGCCAGGAGGCCTGCATGGATGAACAAGGAGCTCCTGGAAAACTCAAACACAAAAAGGAAGCCTACAGAGGGTGTAAGCAAGGATACGGCTCCAGAAGGCAAAGGCAAGGACTGAGAGAATGATGAACTGCCCACTGTTAGCGAAGATCAGGTCTGGGACCATCTAAGGAATATCTGGGAACATCTAAGGGAGTCATCATTTGTTTCTGTTATTCTTGGGGCAGCCTACTGAAAAGAAGTATTGTCTACATTAGCCATGTTTTCTCTGTTGACATGTGTTGACATACCGATAAATTTAGGTATGAAATGAACATCAGGTCAGGTTTGGCTGTTTGATGAGTGAGTGGTGTTAGTGTACAGGTCTGCTTAATTATGTGGAATGTGATGAATAATAAAAAGCCAAGCTCAGCACAGTATTTAATGAAGTAAAACAGTTTTGTACTCTGACTCACAGATATATTGTCTTTATTTCGCCTTCAGTGTCGCCTTTCTTTTATTTTTCATATTTTTATTTTTACATGTAGATTACATAAATTAAAAATAGAAAACATTGGATCATCTTAATTGTCTGTATTTCACCGTATTTTCAAACTTTTGGGGTCCTGTTTGCCACCTGGGACATATTCAAATGCAAGGGAATTTAGTCATTCGAACTGTTGTATCAGTAGCATTTTGCTTATAGGAAGAGTTTGGACATTGTATGCTAGATTGTAGAGAAATGTGTGTCAAAGGTTTTAGCTGCTTTATCAGGATCCTCACCCTGAAGAACCATACAAAACAGGTTGTTGCAAAATAAGTCTTTTAAGCTGCAATTGGAAACTTCTAATTCTGTAGATATTTATTCCCAATAATTTCTTAAATGTATTGCATGCATGTAAGTAGCTGTTTTCAGTATATCTAAAAGTAATTCCAGGTAATTCTGTCCTTAGGAAAGGTTTCCACTGTAAATCAAAGCTGATCTAATAAGTTGTTTGCAGCCCAGTGTTACTTACTAATGAGTTTACATTTTCAGCTTTTTTGGAATCCCATTATATCCCATAAGAAGTTTATCATAATGTTTTCATTACCGTCTTTTAAGGAGATGATGTATTTGTGAAATTCAGCCCAATCGTGTTCAATTGAATGACGTTTTCCAGGCTCTACTGCTGTGATTCTGTGTTTGGCTACTATCCTGAAGTAACCATCCCCAGCCAAGTAAGCAGAGAAGCTTGTCTGGATGTTTGAAAGCTGTGATGTGGTATAGTGAATCCTAAGCTTTATTCCTTATGCATTCATATTGTTGAATCTCAGGAACTAAACTAAAAATGTAACGGTGAGTTTTGACACGTAGAATAACAAAACTATTTCCAAGTTCCTCTTTAGAAATGCAAAATCTTTTAGTAGTAGTATGTAGTACTTCAAGCAGTTTCAGTAAAAATTGAAGTTCTTAAGGAAAGACCTTAAGTGAAAACGTAGAATGTTAGCTACAGTGGTTGTTATATCCAATAACATATTTAGAAAGCATGGTAAGCGCTTCAAGTGGGGACAATTACTAAAAGTGAAAAAAATCTACAATACAACTTTGTAGTCAGATCATTGTAATTCTTTCGCTCCTTGTGAAAGAAAAATCAACCTTCATGGGTGAGGTATCCTATGCTGCTTGTTGTCCACTGCTTTGACTTAGTCAAATGTCAGGAGATTAAGTAGATTTCGTATGTCTTTGTGTGTTGTATCATTCAAATCTGTTAAATATTGCATATCCAAAAAGTAGCACTTGTGAGACCAACATCCAATTTTCCTCTTTTTTGTTTAAGAGGGGGAAAAAAAAAAAAAGAAAGGGCATGTCAGTCCTTTACACACACGGATCTTTAACTCAATGACAGGTAAATGGCAATGACTTAGCTTTCTACATAGACAAACCCCAAAGGTCCCTAACTTAACTAAATCTTTGGGGGATATTTTTCTACCTTTCATACCATACAGGTAATTGCATTTTAGCTTCAGTCTCCAAAAGACATTTGATTAAAGCCCATAGCACACTTCTTAACAACAGCTTCTAACTTCATAATAGCTTCTAGCTTTCCAGCTAGCTCTCTCCCACCTGATAAATTGTCAACAGTCATGAAATTAGACTGCCGTAATTTAGCAACTCAGATCTTCCTCCCTGCTCTACCCACCTGTGTAGCAGAAGTTGGAACATACTGTAAATGGCATGGGACCTTGATTTTAGGAACACAAGTGAGTTGTTAGAGTAGCTGGCTTCCAAGTTGTGGGATTTCCTTCCAAGATGTCTCAACTGACTCTTTAGACAGTGGTCAAGAAAATGGCAGTGGGTTAGTCATACAGGGGAAGTCTATTTACAAGGGAAATGTGATATTTACAGAATCCTATATAATGCATTTGACAAATATGTCCTTAAAACAAACAGTCCATGAAGAAAGCAGACATATTCAGGCTAGTTCTGAAGCCATTTGCTCATTCTCAGTCCTCCTCGTCTTGCAAAGAACAAATCCCTGCCTGTAGATATGGGGTATTCAGTGAGGAACACTGCTTTTTCAAGGTAGCATATCAGGTAAAAAGTCATCAGGTTATTTTTATTGCACTGTTTTCATGCTTAAAAAAAAAATGCACTGTTTAGATAATTTTCAGGGTGTTTTTTAGTCATTATCAGTGCTTCAACTAAAAGTACCTATCCTTACAGGCTAGAGTTTTTGTTATCGTTTGTTTCTAGAAGGCAGGAATTTTCTGCAAAACTTTTGCAGGATGCCCTATAGGAATAATTTCGTTCACTAATTGAAGACAGAAAATGTGTGCGTTTGTTTTCGTTTTTTCATGAGAGTACTTTCTACCTGCTTATTGTATAGCAGCCTAAGCAAATAGATATCTCAGTTCATGTTCAACATATTGTGATTCTAGATGGAAAGAGTAGCAGAGAGAAGTAGTTAGGGAAATCAATACAAGTAAGAACATGGAAGCATTTTTTTTCTGTATTAACATTTAGAAACAAAATACTCTTACTTCAAAAATATATGAGTGAGAAATTATTTTTAAGTACAGAAAATAAATGCAGATAGAGTACATCCTGCTGGAGTAGTTGTAGATGTTGCTCCTGTAGGAAAAGTGCTCCAGTTGGGAGGTATGTGCACATTACAGCCTCTGCTTTGCAGAACGTAAGCTTTTCCCAGCTCCCTGCGAGTACTGTAGTTACTAGTTCAGCTCTTGAGCAGAGATATGTGCCTATGAACATCTAAAGATAGTCGTTATGTGTCACTATGTTTGTCTGAGTTACAGTTTATAGGAAAAGTCAGTGGTGGTTGAGCCTGAAGAAGTCTCTTCTATGATGTTAGGAAGTTCAGAATGTTTTTTAACGGTATTAAGACATGTTTTGCTGACCTTAAATGCCAGTCACTCAGGTGCAAGTGTATAACATCACATTGTTACACTTAGAAGTCGGGTGTCATAAAAGATAACTGGAAATCGTGTCAAAATAGCATAGTAGTAGCGGAGTCTTTGAGGAAAAAATAACCTGTGTCATCCTGTGATATTCAACTCTACAGCCATTTGAAAAGGATGAAAATAGCAGCTGTAATTGCTGTGAGAAACAGTTATGCCATTGAAGCAGAACCAAGCCTGTTGTTGAGAGCCGTGCCCATAAGGCGCAAAATGTCACAGCACGCTCGCTGAGACTTCAAAGGATGAAATAAGTTAATAGAGGCTCAACAGGTTGCTACATCTTGTCATGCTGCTGCTGCACTGTGAAAGAGGACTGGCCTTTTATGTGGCTGGAGGAGGCTTCCTGATATTGTCCCTGTGGTCAGCCAAGCAGACCATCTTGCAGCGTAGCTGGCTGGTTAAACTAGCTGGTGTGTCTCATTGTAATGCCGAAGTGATGGAAGTGAAAAGACTAATACCAAAAAAAAGATGTCCAAAATGTTTTAATTCAATGGTATTCAGGTCTCAGAGGGCCTATGCAGAAAATTGATGATATGACTGATAAGCTTATTTTATTGGTTAGGAGTTAGTTCCTTAAATAGAGTAGTTTCAAAACTTCACCTGTCTATATGTATGTATAGAGATGTGCAAACCGTAATATAATTTTTTTATACCTGTCAGATTCCTAGAGAAAACACAGGACTTAGACTGACTGGTCACACTGACTGATAATATTTGGAAACAGAAAACTAACTTAAAAAATACATTTTTTATGTTAAAATATGTCATTGATTTTGTATCTGAGGATGTGGATCTCTGAAGGTTCCCTGATGACAAACTCTGGATTGTGAGAAAGGAGACAGTCTTAAAAGCTTGTGATCCTTTTCACCTGCTTAGCCATAAAAAAGTTTTTTTTTCCCCTCTCCTCTTGAGGTTGTCTTCCTTGCATAAATTTGAGGTGCTGCTTTTCCCACAGTCTAATATAAGCAGTATCATTAGACATTACATTAACACTCATGAAGTGCAACCCAAATCATATATTAGGACTAGTGGATTTGTTCAGCTGGAAAGAAAATTAACAAGTAGGTAAAAGTGTAGCTGTGGTATGAGCTGCAACTTTACTATTGATACAAACTATTTAAGTTGTTACAGATAATAAAATCTAATTATATTGGTATCCCTATGTAGCTTGCCAGATATAAATAGTAAGCTAAAAGTTGGATTCAGAGATTAAATTTGAAATGTAGTTATATATTTGAAAAGAGACTCAGCTTGAATACAGTTACTATGCCATAGCTTGTAGAGCTATCATTTATTTTCGATTCTAGCTTTCATATTGTCTCAATATGAAAGCAATATATCAATGCCAATTTAAGGTAAGTGCAAAGTTGCAAAGGTACAAAATACTATACACAAAATTAAACTACATCAATCATTACTCTGTCATGGAACAGCAGTCTTCTTCAGATGCAGTTATTTAATCCTACTGAAAGA